CGGCAGATATCATGGGCTTAAAAATCTAGGATGTTGTGAGATGTGACTATTGGGGAAGTTTGCCAACCGTAAGAAAAGAAATTGAAGCTCCAGATGAGTCTGCCCTTGGGTCATTAAGGACTTCTGCTTGATAATTCTGCAGAGGCATGAAGGACTCAAGAGGGTAACTGGAGGGAAGCTCTAGGAATAACAGCATGCTGTAGAAAAAATGGAGCAACCACCCCCTCTTCTATTTGCAGCCATTGTTAGATGAGAATCACCAAGATACTGAACTTGAAGAGGACTTTTTAGACTTCATTATGGTCAAGTTATAGATCAGAATCCTATGACCTCAATTCAGTAATTTAATTAAAACACAACCAGTTTCTTATTTTTGTCCTTAAGTAAAGCCTGCCCCCCCCCACCCACCCCAATGGTCCCACTACCTAATCCTGGATGTTTTGGCCTATTTAGAAAAGTCTGACCTTGAACTCCCAGAGATCTGCCTGCCTCTACCTTCCAAGTGCTGGGATTAAAGGCGTGCGCCACCAGGCTCAGCCAGTGCCTGATGAAAATATTTTTAGGAGGTAGTAGTTAAACTTTTGTTTGAACCGTCAAATAAGACGATTTCAGTAGCTAGTTTCCTTTGAACTAGTCTAGAACCTTCTTCTATTGGTTCAAATCTATAGATATTCACACAAAGTTCAAAAGCTTATTATACACTTGAAGCTAATCAGGAAAATAATACAATGTTTCTAGCCAGATGAAAAAGCGGAAGAAAACTCAACTCAGAAAATGGGCAAGAAGATTAAAAGGGCAAAGAAAAAGCAAAAATAGTATAAGTGGAAAACTTGTAAGATGATGAATACAAATGAATAATTATAGTAAGTATAAAATTGTATAACCTCTGAAGAGACAAGATTAAATGAAAGACAGCTGGCATTGCACTATGTAATATAGACAATGTGGTAAAAAAAAAAAAGGCTGTGGTAAAAACCATCAGTGACAAAGGAACATGGTAGGAAAGGATTAATGCACTAAGCTGTATCAGTCTTGAACTTGTGTGATCTAACAACATAGCCTTAAAAACAGAAAAAGCTAATTTTAAAACTACATAAAAAATCCCACTTAGGAGTTCAGGGAAATCATACAATGAGAAGAAAATGATACAGTCAACAGTAATTATTAACATGTGAACCTTTAATGCTTGCTATATAATGTATCATTACTGCTAAGTGAAGGGAAAGGAATTTGTAGCAGACACGCTCTGTGGCTTTAAATGTTCTTTTTCCACACAAGTCTGTTAAAATAACTGGAACTGCCAGGCCAATGTACTTGGTTCAGTCAGTCCTCTCAGTAGCTCCCCCACCCCAGCTGAGTGTTGGGGCTCACCCCTTTAATCACAGCAGGTAGAGGTAGGGCAATCTCTGAATGAGGCCACCCAGGGTCACAAACCAAGTGACAATTTCGTTAGATGTTCGTTAGTCCAGTAATAAGATGACGGGAGAAAACTAATAGTTCCTTTGTGTTTCCTCTTCCCACTGACCCAGTGAGCTGGGGAGAAACGGAGGCACAGAAGACAGAATCTGCATAGGATTGTAGCTTGTAAAACCACAGCACCTAGACCCACGGGCTCCAGGCTGAGCCTTAGCACACCCTAGCGAGACCACCAGTCAGAAATACTGTGGAGAGCATAATTAGATCCAAATTCTTTGAGATGAAAAGAACCTTTAATTGGAACTCTAGTGTTTGAAGCTGAGGGGAGTTAGTATGACAGACTAGGAAAGTCCAACAAAAACTTGCAAAGCACCTTTTTCATGAGATATCGGTACATTCACTAATTTCTTTTGTATCCCAAACCTGCTTATATTCTGGTGCAAATTAAGCAATTTTTAGGAACTGTATAGCCTACAGCTTTGCTTCAACATTATTCCCTTTATTTTCTTCAGAAGAGTGCTCTAAATCCCAGAATGCAGTGGTTGTCCTCTACCCACATCTTCTTAGTGCGTCACATCACTGTAGGGATCAAAACATTGGTCAACAGTGAGCGATTTCTGCGCACACAACCAAAAATTCGTTGAGGTGTGTGAGGAACCCACGCGCCTCTGGTATCACTCACCTGTGCACTGCAGGAGACCGCAGCCTCGGTTCTGGGGACAGAACACATGCCTTTTGCTTTGCAGGTGCCTGGCGTGGACTGCAGGGTCAACAAAGGCTGACAGATGTGGCTGGACGTCTGAATACTTGGTTCCCAGTTGGTGGTGCTGTGTGGGGACCTGGGATGGTGGAGCTTTGCTGGAAGAAGCACGCTGAGGGGCTTTGATATTCTTTCCCCTGCTGCCAGCTTGCTCCATCTATGGTGTTTGAAGGAGTGTGCAGCGCCCAGCTTCCTGTTCCCGCTGCTGTGCCTGCCATCTGGTGGTATTCCTCCCTGCCATGATGGACTCTTAACCCTCTAGAACTGGAAGTCAGAAAAGCTTTTTCCTGTAAGTTGCTTTTGGTTATGGTATTTTATCAGAAAGCAACCCAGGATACTGAAGCACCAGGGCTCAGACGCAGAACTCCTGTACATTAGGACTGCTCTATTTTTACTATGCAGAGTTTTTTCTTATGGGTATGTGATGCTTTAAATATGGAAAAAAAAAACCCTTCATGTTTTCCATCAATCATTCCTTAGCACTTAAGAATCGAATCTGTTTAATATTGGGTTGTATTGGATTAGAGTATTGATTAGAAAATCGTTGATCTAGAAAGGGAATCATGAGAAGGGGCAGAAGGGATCTTCAGGGATACATGAAATAAGGTAGTGGGTACATGTGATAGGAAAGCAGAGTGGGTAAGGAGGGAAAGGAAGCGAACCTGCTGGATGGGGAATGAATGAGAAAGTAGGACACGTGTATGAAGATGTTATAACTAGTTACTTTCTATGCTAACCCGAAAAATTAATAAAAATAAACAAACGGGCTAGAGAGATGACTGCGTGGTTAAGAACGCTTCCTCCCGCAGAGGATCTGGGTTGGAGTCCCGGCACACACGTCCCTCACAACAGTCCAACCAGTTCTAGGATCTGATGCCCTTTTCCGGCCTCCACTGGCATCCCATGCAGCTGGTGGTACACACACAGACACGTGGGCAAAACTGTTGGTAAAAATAAGTACATCTCGTGCTTTGAATGAGAACGGTGCTCCTGGGCTCCTGGGTAGGCTCCCGTTGGTGGAGTCCTCTGGGAAGGCTTAGGTGTGGCCTTGTTGGAGGAGGTGTGTCACTGGCGGTGGGGCTTTGAGATTTCTAAAAACTGCCATTCCCAGTGCACTCTCTGCTCCTGCTTGTGGGTCAAGTGTGCGTTTTCAGTTGCTGCTCCATGCCTAACTCCACATCTAACCCTCTGGGACCGTAAGTCCTTGGTCATGGTGTTCATCACAGCAATAAAAAAGTAAGACACTATTAAAATAAAATAAAATAAAAATGGCTTTTTTTTGTTTGTTGATTTGAGTTTGGCTAAAAAAAAAAAAGAGTTAAGTTGGGTGTGGTGACACACACCTTTAATCCCAGCACTCAGGAGGCAGAGGCAGGTGGATCTCTGTGAGTTTGAGGCCAACCTGGGCTACAGAGTGAGTTCCAGGACAGCCAGGTCTACACAGAGAAACCCTGTCCAACAACAAAACAAAAAAATTAAAAGACTTTCATTTAGGGACCAGGTCAGCTTTTCCAACAGTTTCGGAACTAACCCTAAACGCCCTCCTGCCATTTTGTCTTGTGTTTCTATGAAGCAGCATTCTCAGCATCATTTTGACTTTATAATCGGAAGTTGAAGATGTTTTACGTCTTAGTATCAGCTAGTCAGCCAAGATTTACTTCCTAAAGATGTGAAACATTTTACTGTTGGTGTGTGTGTGTGTGTGTGTGTGTCCTGGCACACAGGCGGTGGTGTGTGTGTGTAGATGACATGACAGTTCTGGGACTGGTCCTCCTTCCACCTTCACAGAGCTCTGGGGAGTGAACTCAGGTTGCCAGCCTTACACAGAAACATCTTGTTGACTCCGTTGATGCTTTATGTAAAGATAAATAAGCATGTTCATCTTAGTATACACCTTTGCTTTAGGCGTTAATAAAGGGTAAGGTTCTAAGTGTACCAAAGGATTGTTGTAACGTTTATGATTTATGATCTATGATCAGTAAATGTTTGGCTTGTATACACTCTTCTATATTATATACTAGAGTCATACAAATTTCTTGGGTGAAAAGGGTCACAAATGGACAAAGTTTAAGAAGCTATTCTAAAAATGAAAATATGTTGTCATAGAGTCATGAGGCTAAGTATTTCAAATGACATTTTCCTAATTAATACTTTACACATTTATCTTTAGACAAATATCAATATTCAAGTTTATTTGAATTAACTATTATAGTAACAATGCTAGAGAATTTACTAGAGGCCACAAACACTGGAACTCTTTTATTTCATACATACACTTTAATACAAATGAACATATTAATAAAACTTATCTACTTACTAACAATTTAAATTCTATGACATCTATTCTTATGACAAATTTCCTAAAAAGTTGCAGAAACCAGGTCCTTTGGCTGTGGTTATTACCCATTATCTAAATGCCACATACTGGATAATTCTTGATAAATTTTATCTCATAACATAGTCAAGATGTTCTCATCTCTTTAAACTAGAAACGTTACTGTGAACTGCAAAAATAGTGAAAGAAAAACTTCACATTTTAAGAGGAATTGTATCTGTTTTATTAGATACAAGTTTCACTAAAAAACAAAACAAAACAAAACAAAAAACCCCAAAACGGGTAAAGCCATCTTTATGCAGGTCTTAGCGCCCATGTAAAATATATTTTAAGAAATCAAATGTTTTAAAATCGTTGTCAACTAGGAAGGCCAAGAAACCTACATTTTAATTTTAGGTTTAAAATAACTTCTTTAGGATCCTGTTTGAATGTAGACAGACCTTTGTTAGCAAGGTGTACTGCTTTTCAGTCTTTTAAAGAATGCACAGTAGGTAATGAATGACCTGTTGACATTAAGGGCCAGTTTCTAATTTGTAAAGACTTCCTAAGGTTCAAATTCTTAATACTTGGGAACCTGGAATTACTGAGTTGACAGATTATACTTAAATTCCTATAAAGCTCACTTTACAGAAATTCTCTGTATTTTCTATAAAAGCAGATTTTTAGTATTAAGTTCGGTTCCAGTTTCATTGTGGATGGCTTTTCTTTCTTTTTTAAATGCTGGAGACTGAACTAGCATCTTGTACATGTTGAGACAAGCATTTTCTCTAGCCAGTGTTTATTTTTAATTCAGTTTGGGACTCTAATTAAAATAAGAAGTCTATTTCTAAGTACTGACAAGGTCAGTTATTGGAAATGTGTGTAGTTAGCTGCATGAAAGATGAGTGGTTGGTTTTCATGCCACTTGAGGAAGGACTTTTATTTGGATGCAAAGCAAACATTTTTAACGTTCATTGCGACATTGTTTTGACTCGTATAAAATATAAAAAATGGTTGGTTAGTGCTCAAGGGAATTATTTAGACTATTGTTCACGTAAAGTCAGTCTCTATAAGGTAATCCACACCACATTTTGAGTGAAATATTTTTTATCTAACTGGTGTCATAAATTATATATCCAGCATAAGAGCACACACTTTTTCTGTAATGCATGGAGATTATATAAAGAACTATTAGCTCTGACATAAGCCAACCGTGTAAACGTATAGCTCTGTAGCTCAGTGTGACATATTAGGAAACCACTGTGATTTAGCTGGACAGACAGGAGTAATAGAGAAAACTTGCTACTTAAAACCAAGTAATCGAGTGGGCTAGTCAGGCTGAACCAAGCTACTGAACACCATCATTGCTAAGTTTGTTGAGGTAGATGTTTAAATATTCAATATGTAAAGCTATGTGTGTCTTAGCTCAACTGTTTAAAACAGATTCTGTAAAGATTATATATGTAGTCAGGACATGGGCTTAAACACCTGTGTACATGGGATTTTTGCTGAGTTTATTCATTTTTCTTTCTAACATCAGGATAGTAAACGTTATTTTAACTAACAGCAGTCTTCACAGTCTGAGCAGAAATACTACTACTAACTTTACTCATCAGCATTTGGCTTTTTACAAAAGACAGAAATTTTTGCATATCTTTAAAAAATCTGGCTGTGTACTTTTACATGTTGTTAGAAATATTACGGGAGTATAGAGTGTAGCTTTGTTTCTTCTGGTGCTGAAAACAAAGATCCTAATATGATTAGCAAGGAATACACTGTATTAATCTAACCTCAACTGTTATTCTGCTAGAATAACAGAGAGCAAAGGAAGAGGAAGTCCTTCGGCAACCCCTTTTACGCTGACTAGATGTTTCCTTCAGACACTGCTGGCTGTGGTTTCAGAACAATCTGAAACCAGGGCGAGGCTGATGTAGGATGGCTAAGAAAAAGACCTGGAAAGTGGAAAGCTTAAACACTGATGGTTTACAGTTGTTAAAGTTACTTTTGTTACATTTGTAAAATAAGAGCAAGGTATAACAGCTTAAACAGAGTAATACCTTTTGGTATTTTCAAGTAATCTCCATTTTATACTTCACAGTCTACAGAGAGAAATATAATATATAATCTTTACAGAATTGAGTAAAGATAATGTGGAAGTAGAGTGTATTTTAGGAGAGAGCATAATTGCCTGAACGAAACTGGTTAACAAAAACATTTCGCTTTCAGTTTTTTTTAATGCAAAATACAATTACTCTTTAACTCTTGGAATTTATAAAAGTTTTTAGAAAAATGCCTGTTATTCACTGAATAAGCCTGAATAATAAATATGGGATTAAAATATATACTGAAAACAGGTAAATGGAGTATCAAATATATTGTTTCATGATATTGTTCATGATATTTTGGCTAGGGCTCTGGTAACAATACATATAGCATGTTACTTTCAAAGTAACACTAGCAAAAGGAATAGTCTTAATAAAAGATGGAAAAGCCTTAGGATGTATGAAGATTCTATCTACTAAACAATACTATTACATCTTATTCATAGACATGTATTTCAGCCCAGAAATATTAAGATTACATACCCCAAATATATATGTACATCCATGAGTATATTCACCATCCTTTATGAGACAGAATAAAAAAGTTACTCAAGTTATTATTGGGTATTGCCTTTCAGATATTATAAGAACTTTTCTTTTTATAATTCTTACTCTTTCCCAGCAGAAGTACAAGACAGTATTAAATCTTGGAGTAGGTGTAAATTTAAAATACTGAAATTCTAGCATTTCTTAGAAGTATTGTGCTATCAACTTTCATTAAATTCTAAAGTAAATTTCCATGTAGTCAACTGAAATATTGTTGATTTATATAACCTTACTGTTTTGCTAATCCAAGTTTCTATCAAAGGAATAATTTTTTTTTAAAACAGAAGTTACATTTGGTAAACAGAAAGCACTGACTTAAAAGATAGTAATTTTTAATTTAAAAATTTTAAATATTGTGGTATATTTTTTAATTTTAGAAACTTCTCTCATTCCATAACAGCAGGCAATCATAGTTTCTTTGTATTTGAAAATAAAATTGTGTTATGGGTAAATTCTATGGTTTTAACAGCCTATAAACCTCACAAAGAACCGAGTGAATGAAAGATAAAAATCCTGACAGTATCAAGTCTGACATGATGTAATTATGAATACTTATATTCCCTAAGGTGCTATGCCCTATGAACAATTGTACTTCTTGTAGGAATGACAGAAGAGGGCGAGGAATAGATAATCTTTAAGAACATTGAAGGATAGTGTCACTTTGGTCATAGTAACCACTATACAATAAGTGGTTAATATAATATTATGTCATATTATAATATGACAGATTAATGGATATGTTATATTTTATAATACACAAATTATTTTTATATCAACATGTATAAAATTTGTAATGTAAGTAGAGCTTGAAATGTTTTTTTATCATAGCCACTTAATACAGCTAAAATACAAACACAAATATAGTAAAACCAAAATAATGTGAAAACTAGAATTTATGCATCATCTCCTAACAAGATGGGGTTTTTAAAACTTATACAACATTACAAAAATGGTCTGTTGCTAAGTATTTTTATCTATGCCATGGATTTGTTTACAAATATGAAACTTCTGGAATGAGACTGAAAACCCAGGGTTATGTATGATGATCTGATCGTGCTGCTAAGACTGCTGTGGTCCCGCCTGCTAGGACTTGTAACTCGGTCTCACTTATGTGTCTGAGTTAATAAAGGAAACCATGATTGAATTCTGCATCTCCCATGTTCTGGCTACTAAGATTTTAAAAATTCTTTAAAAAAAAAAGAGCAAAAACATTAACCTTAAGCATATCCCCAAACCTCATTTGTTACTAGACCACATGTAGGCCTAGTTATTTCTATTTCTGGACCAAACAGTTATCCCAGAGTCTACTTAACAAAGTCAGTACAGGAAGGTGGAGTGGAAACTGAATCCTCTGCTCTGAACTCTTTTCTAGGATGGAAGTGTGGGCTTCGAGGGTATCGAGGGTTCAAAGCCACAGGTGAAGGATGAGAAAAGCTTCTTCTCACAGAATGTAACCTTGGCTCCTATTGAGAGATTTAAACAGAGTTAGGGTCTTAATGCACTTTAAATGGCTCTCATTTTTATAATGACTTAAGGAAAAAATTTAAAAATAAGATGAACTGTGTCTGGATGTGTGGTCAGAAAGCACTGGGGATCTAACCCAAGCCTTGTGTGTGCTAGTCAAGCCTGGTCTACCTTTGAGCCCTGGGTCTGGATTCTGAGGAAAGGGTTCTTCAGGAAATGCCTCCTATGAAGAGTAGGCTAATTCTAATCTGCTAGACAGGGAGGCATCCCATGGTATAAAGAAATCCCATATTCAGGGAGATTTCTAAATTATGTTATGCTTTCTTTGGGTCATCTCTAAACTTTGGTTAAGTTTATTTTTATTTTTACAAAAATTATGTTAAGCTTATGATATATAAGATTAGAATTAGATCTTATGGACAAGAAAGCACTAGCAAGAGCAAAATCAACAGATCATTAATATAGTAAATGTTAATAGGTAAAAATTCTTACTGTTGAGCTAACAAGTGACTTTTATTTGATCTACTGCAAAATATAAAGATTGCTAGAGACAGTCCCCTGCTTAAGACACTGAAAATAGGGAATTTTACTAAGGTATCTATAATAACTTAATGCCTGCTTTAGAGCATCTGGGGGAGGCAAATCCTGTTGCCTAGAAATCTCATCAATGGTTCTGTCTACTTTAAATGACTGGAGCTCAATACTGTAATTAAGGAATTAAGTCATCAAGGAGACAGTGTCTGTGCCATACTGAATAAAACTTCTGAAGTAGGACCTAGACCAAATCAACTACATTTGACTATAAAAATATTTTAGTAGTTCTTCTAAAATTTAACTAGCATCTTACATACAGTTAAGGGATACGAATACAATTTCTAAGATTAAAAAGCCAAGTTTGTCCAAAGGGAAATTTTACAATGAAGTTTCAAGTAGCATGGTATGGGCACAGAGAGCACTCTACTGTTCTACTAGAGCTCTGAGCATATCTACCACTAAAGAACGAACACAGCAGTGCTAGAGCAGGTAACCGTCAGGAGAAATTCACGAAAACAGTGAGTCATCTGTAGAGTGAATAACAGATCTGGAGGCTTCCAGATTTAATGTGCAATTACAGTTTATTAATAGCACTTATGATACTTTGTGACATTACAAAATAGTCTTCCAGCTTGGAAAGAATGTAACAATGTATTGTAATAATAAGCTAAAGAAAGTTTATCAAAAATTAGTATTATGAGAAAATTTACTCCAATGACATTAGGCTATATTAGGTCACGCACTTTTTACAAATTTTTGAGTTCAGGAGACCATAAGACAATTTTGATAGTGATTTTTACCTTAGAATTAGATTAAATTTGGGGCTGGAGAGATGGCTCAGTGGTTAGAAGCCAAGTACTGCTCTCCCAGAGGACCTGAGTTTGGTTCCCAGCACCCACATTAGGTGGCTCACAACCACCTGCATATCCAGCTCCAGGGGTTTCCGGCATCTCTGGCCTCTGTGGGTGCTTGCACTCACACGAACGCACGCACGCACGCACGCACACACGCACGCATACAAAAATATACATAATTAAAAATAGTAAGAAAATTAATTAGATCAAATTTCATCTACATAAAAATGGTTTGAGTCTAGTACTCATCACTAGGATGTAACAAAACCAGCTTGAAGAACGGTCCCCAGCTAGCAGAGCTGGGGCTGTAGCTGAGTGGAGGAACTGAGATGCTAAGACCAAATGAGGAACCCCACACAGTCTGGTGAACGCCTGCACTGTAGAGTAGCAAGAAGAACGGAGAGGAAGATGGAGAAATGTTTTGGTAGTGGATTTTGGATGTGTTATGGTCTCAAGAGAGTGGATGGCCCAAGCTATGGCTCTCTTTGCTGTCTGATGGCCAAAAGATTTCTGGGACACCCTAGAAGCCCTTTCTTCTTACCAAATGTTTCTTATATTTCCTAGAATGCTGACTTGCATAATACTTTAAATGACTTTTTTTTTGAAAAACCAAAAAAAAAAAAAAAAGGACTTTGTAACGAGCAAAGGGCTCTACATCTTACTACAGAGACACTTGGTCAATCATGTTCATTCATTACTCTATTCATAATAGCCAGAAATTGGAAACAGCCTATATGTCAGTCAACAAATGAATGGACAAAGAGAATATGGTATAGTTACACAATGGAATATTACTCAGTCGTTAAAATGGGAAATCAGCTGGGTGTGGTGGCGCATGCCTTTAATCCCAGAACTTGGGAAGCAGAGGCAGGTGGATCTCCAATTCTAGTTCCTCTGGTCTACGTTCCAGGACATCCAGGGCTACACAGAGAAATCCTGTTTTGAAAAAAGAAAAAAAAAGTGAAATAATACAATCAATTCACAGGTAAGTAGATGGATGGAGCTAGGAAAAAAATCATTCTGAGTGAGGTAACCCAAACCCAAAAGATAAGTAGGTATATATTCACTTATATGTGGATGTCAGTTGTTAAGTCTTGGATAAGCAGGCTACAATCCATATAATCCTAGAGATTAGGGAAAGGGACTGTGGGGAGGAATGTGTTACCCTAGGAAGGGGCTAACAGAATGGGACAGTTACGGATGGATGTGGAGGGACTGGAGTGGGAGGATCAAACGAGGAGGAAGAAGGAAGAGGGGGATGAGGGCGGGAATTCGGGGAGGTCAGCTCAAATGAAGGACAATTTGAGGGGTTGTATGGAAGGAAACAAGACAGTAGAAGCTTCCATAAACATATGAAGGGGATCTAAATGAAATTGCCAAGTAATGAGGGAGACAGAGCCTCAAATGGACAGCTTTTGCTGCCAAATAAACACTCCAGTTCTGGGACCGGGTTACATCTAATCCATTTGTTGGCCAAACCAAACAACCCAGTCTATGGCTAAGGCTATTGGTTGCTTCCACAAACTGACAGTAAGACCCTACCTATTGCTGAAGACAACACCTGCACAACTCGCTGAACATGGAGGAGTCGAGCTGGTGCACACCCAGAGCCTTCATCCCTGCTGACTAGTGTTCAGGGGACTGGAAGGCCCTCTGCACGCCACCAAAGGAGAAAGTGAACACCAACCCAGCCGCAGAACGTCTCATCTACTATGGCTGGCCTCCATGCAATTGTGGTACAAAGCTTGTGGACTGACCGCCCAACGTCTGCTTGCATTTAAGGCCCACTCCATGAGATGGAACTCCTCCCCAACACTGTTCTAGTGGCCAAGAACCTGAGACTAGATAGGCCAGGGACCTAGGGGCAAACCAAACGCCACTGTTCTGTTAAAGGAATTTAGCAACAAAATGCCTCCTAACAACATTCTTCTATCCTCATAGATCAGTGCCTTGCTCAGCCATCATCAGAGGAGCCTCCTCCTGCAGTAGATGGGAATAAATACAGGGATCCACGGCCAGACAAATGTGCAGAGTGAGAGGTGCTGGAACACTCGGACTAAATGAGATCAAACCCCTCCCCTTAGTGCTCAGGGAACTCTGAAAAGAGGCAGGGAAGTGTAAGACCAGAGCGGTTATGAACTCAACAGTATTTTTGGAGGGACGTTTGTCTCAAACTGCTTTTTCTGGGTATCTCCCCCCGTCCCCCTCAACCTTAGAGGACTTTTGCTTATATATGTTTTCTAATTTTGTGTTTTTAGGGATTTCTGTGTTTGCCAATGCGTGTCTCTGCATCTATATGTTTCTTGTGTTTTTTCTTTGGCTCTTTGTTTTTCTGTTTGTTTTGTCCTATTCAGGTTTGTAGGATTTCATCTAACTTGTTTGGTTTCTACTGAGCAAGAGCAGGAAAGGATGTGGGTTTGTGTGGGTGGCGAGGTGGAGAAATATGAGAGGAGTTAGGGAAGGGGAACCATGAGAATATATTATTATATTATATTATATTTGAACAAAATTCTGCTAGGTGTGCCTGCTTGCTACTCACCCTTCCGTAGAAGTAAAACACTCTTTCATAGTGTTCTGTCATGTATAATAAATACACTAGGATTTCTACGATTACATGAAATGATTCTGTAATTTCAGGTTTATAACAGGGAAAAAGGCTTTCCTCTAAACACAATTCCGTTAGTTTAAACAGCACTGTATCACTGGTTAGAATGGAAATAACAAATTAAGTCATAGGAAGCCTAAGTCTAACCTGTGGGGTTCAATCTGCTTTCAGATTATGGCTTTGGAGTTTAATGTCACATTTCTAGCCCTCTCTCAGAATTCATAAGGATTGGTTTCAGAACCCCTACAAGTAAACCAACTGGATTCAAATCCCTTATATAAAAGGCATAGTGTTTCCATGTAATTTTCACACATCTTATATACTTAAACCATCTCTAGATTACTTATAATACTTAATACAATGTAAATATATAATTATAATAGATATTGTTTATGGAATATCAAGGAAAAAGCATCATGTCCAGTACGGGCACAATTAAAACAGTTTTGATTTACAGCTGATTGAATCTGCACATGTAAACCATGGACACAGAAAACCCATGCGGTTTGTAATATGCTCATGTAATCAAATTTCAGTTTCCATGAAAGAGTTGAGGTCATATCAATGGCACTTCTAGATCTTCATTTTTGAGAAGCAGTTTCTGAATGATGATTTAAGTTTATTAATATGAAAAATTAAAAAATTAGACAATTTTAGTTATTTTATTATTTTATTTTTTGTTTTTTTTCGAGACAGGGTTTCTCTGTGTAGCTTTGCACCTTTCCTGGAACTCACTTGGTAGACCAGGCTGGCCTCGAACTCACAGAGATCCACCTGCCTCTGCCTCCCGAGTACTGGGATTAAAGGTGTGCGCCACCACCGCCCAGCAATTTTAGTTATTTTTTTGGCGCTCCCTTTCCTGTAAGGAACCCTGGGTTTGATCCCCAGCATCACATGAACTTGGGTATGGTAGTACCCAACTGTAATTCCAGCATTCAGAAGACAGAGAGGAGGATTAGAAGTTCAAAGGTCAACCTTAGCTATGTTCAGGGTCAGCCTAGGCTAC